AAAATAAAGATCAAAAGAAAATTTGTCCAGGAAAATAAATCACTGGTGAACAGAAGACTCGACTCTATTAGGGTAAAGCCCGAGGAGGAGATAAAGTAGCATCAGTTCAAATATTGAGGAGAGAAAATAAAGGATAACCGTGATCGAAAGATAGCCGCGAACTATCCACTTGGTGAGAAGATATCAAAAAAGGTAACGTCGACCCACAGGGGGAAAGAAATGGTAGGATAATACCAGCAAATACCAATATTAGGGTAGGTCACAAATGGCCAGCATCAGTACTTGTGATTGGACATGTGTGAACTTCTTTAGAGCAAAATGAGTCTCAACGACGAGTTATCTCCCATAATGACGAGACTACCATTCATCGGAGTACAAATCTCCACAACGAACTATCTACCATAATCACGAGACTACCATCCATTGGAGTAACAAACCTCAACAACAAACTATCTCCCATAATGACGAGACTACCATCCATTGGAGTAAAAATATCCATAACAAACTATCTCCCATAATGACGAGACTACCATCCATTGGAGTAACAAATCTCAACAATGAACTATCTCCCATAATGACGAGACTACCATTCATTGGAGTAACAAATCTCAACAACAAACTATCTCTCATAATGACGAGACTACCATTCGTTGGAGTAACAAATCTGAATAACAAACTATCTCCCATAATGATGATACTACTATCCATTGGAGTACAAATCTCCACAGTGAACTATCCCCCATAATGACGAGACTACCATTCATTGAAGTAACAAATCTCAACAACAAACTATCTCTCATAATGACGAGACTACCATCCGTTGGAGTAACAAATCTGAATAACAAACTATCTCCCATAATGACAAGACTACCATCCCTTGGAGTACAAATCTCCACAATGAACTATCTCCCATAATGACGACACTACCATCCATTGGGGTAACAAATCTCAACAATGAACTATCTCCCATAATAACGAGACTACCATCCATTGGAGTAAAAATCTCCACAACAAACTATCTCCCATAATGACGAGACTACCATCCGTTGGAGTAACAAATCTCAACAACAAACTATCTCCCATAATGACGAGACTACCATCCATTGTAGTAACAAATATCAACAATGAACTATCTCCCATAATGACGAGACTACCATCTATCGGAGTAAAAAATCTCAATAATGAACTATCTACCATAATGAAAAGAGTACCATCCATCGGAGTAACAAATCTCAACAACAAACTATCTCCCATAATGATGAGACTACCATTTGTTGAGTACAAATATCCATAATGAACTATCTCCCATAATGAAGAGACTACCATCCATTGGAGTAACAAAATGAATCTTCCCCGGGAACTAACAGACTTGCTGGGGAAGAACAGGTTTCTCAAATAAAGAGACCTGTCACTTGTTGTTATGAGAAGGAAATGCAACAATGCTGCTGAGAAATGAATCTTGACTTCTCTCGGGAAGTTCCAGTACAGTCGTGTTGAGGAGATAAAGTCTTGTCGTACAAAATAAATTCACATTATCAAACCATGGCTCAAAGTCTGTGGAAAACATAATAGTAACGTCACCAAGGACCACAATCTCAAACCAGAAATAAACTAGAGTGAAACAGCCAACCAAGACAGCACCTAATGAGAAATAAACTCAAAAGGGAAAAAATGGATCTAACCAGATAATGATCCGAATAAGAAGGCTAAAGCAAAATTCTTCCACAAGGGATAATTCAGTGGGGAAATTGAAGAAAAAAAAGTACACTTTCTGCTTAAGGTCGACACTCTATTGGAGAGAGGGTAACATAACTCTGCAAGATAGGACAATATGCCCACAAAAACATCAATGAATGTAAATGAGCAATAAATGTTAAATTCATCTATGCATGATGTATGTATGAATGTATGAATTTTATCATGTATATGTTGACAACACAAGCACACAACACTAGGAATAACCAGACAAAACCAGCTTGGGTAAAGACAACACTCGGCTAAATCACTTCCAAGAGGAAAATTTTGTAAGAAAATAAGCACCGACTGAGGAAACGAACTCCTATGTCACTGTTTAACTCTACTGGGAAGAAACACAATCTGAAAGTAATCAAATCAAAATAATAAATCAGTAAAAATACAGGGATATAACATCTTCCTCTAGGTTTCACCGGGGAACATCACACAAAATTCAATAAGGAAAACAATGTCTCAACGTTTAGACTTCTATTGGAGATTATAATACTGAATCCACTAGGGAAGATGAAACTATGTCGTCGAGATATCAACTGGGGATATCATATTGATTTGGTTGGGGAGGACCATACCACATCTTCAAGAGGAGCCCAAACACATTCTTCAATACCAAGAGTGACAATTACTCAAATTTATCTAGAGAGAAATTATGAAACCATATAAGGATAATAACTTTCAGAGAGAAACATTATCTCAACTTTAATCGGGGATTTAATAAGTCAAACAATACAACAAGAAATCAAAATTATGGGGATTTTAAATCAAACGCAACGCTTGGCGGGAGAAAATCCAAAAAGTTGATAGCTATTTCAACATTTCTTAGAAAAGATATTGCCCTTGTCTAGTTACCTGGGATACAAACAACAACAATAATTCTAATACTGCAAAAGGGCGATATTTTTCAAATGATTCCACCTCAGCATACAAAAGGCCTTTCTTCACATGCACAAAGATCTTACTGGGGAATCTGGGATTGAGGTTTTAGACCATGCTGCCATACCCCAATTTTTGACCTAAGATCCCATCTTCATTTGCATTTTTTGTTATATATATCAAGATCACGAAATATGGCCGGTTTCGAACTTCTCACCTTCGAGCATTGCCTATGCAGAGTTTATCGAGTGTTGTGAATAGTTTATCTTATGCATGACTAACTTCTAATCAAGCACGAAGTGTTTTTTTTTTGTTTTCTTTGATTTCATGTGCAAAAATAGGTCTGAATAGAGAGCATCAGGCGTCACGTCTAAATTAGGGTTTTGAGTCTCTCAAGCCAGAAGTATGATTGATCGTTGATTCTCGAAGACTGATTCATCAAGGGAACTTTCAGAGAATCGTGTGTTTATTTTCATGCTTTGTTCAACAGATGGCCTCAAGCGCCTCTGAAATTCTTCATAAGAACAGTCAAGGTTCCATGACCATTGGTTCACGTGTGTTTTGCCTTGCCTTGTAATACAAGAAAATATCAGGCTATGCGAGTCAATTCCGAGCACTTCGACCAAAAGTCATATGCAAGTTTTCTTTAAGAGTTGAAGACAAATTATGTTTAGAAATCCATGAGAAGACTTCATAGGACGTTTGTCATGATTTAAGAGTTTCTAGATCTCTGAGTTCAGTTCATTGTGCCAATTTTTTAATGTGATAACATTTTGCCTCGAATCCCTCTTCTAGTGATCATTCGAAGCTTTTAAGCATGGTTCTATTTCTTATGCTTACATGACGCAAGGTGAATTTCATTAGAGCGGAGTGATCAAATTCAAGATCGCTTTGGAAGAATTTATTTAGAATACTTGGAATTTTCATCATACGAATTCAAGTGTTAATTAAATAGAATTTATCAAAAGGGCTTATTCAAGAATAATTATTCCTCACATTATATTTATTCAAGATCATTTTTGTTTGATTACTTTGATGGATTCACACCATAGCCATTTGAATTCACACGAGGCATTTACTATGGAGATATTGGAAAAAGAAACTTGATTCAAATAATCATTCATCACAAGAATAAATAAATGATGGGGACAAGATCAATTCATGTAATTCATTTGGATCTTTAATACAAGATGCAAAATTGAGGTCTTAAGGCTTGCATCATTGTTTATTCATCATTCAAAAATTCATTCAAGTATCAATCAATTCTTTTCCAAATTCAAATGGAAGATTTTGAATTTCATTGAAACAAATAAAGATCCAAAATGTTTACAATTACAAAGGAATTGAGAAAATCACATTCAAGACAAGTTCCATTCATGTTACAATTTTATTTGGAATTATCACTACAAAGTTACAAAAGGAATTACAAGTTTGTACATAAAATCAAACTATTATTTATAATGCCCATATTTTCCGGCCTTGTTTCAATACAAATAAAAGTCCAATTTTTGTGGTATTTTGCTGTCTAAAACAGCAGTAAAACAGTCAAAATTATGTCAAAAAATGCTGCAAATCAGTCCAAAAAAACAGCAACCTGCGATGGTCTAAATGCTGTCAAAATCTGCACCAAAGCTGTCCAATATCTGCACTCAAAAAAATCTTCTATGCCACTGCTTCCCTGTACTAAAACCTTGCCATCCAGCCTGTTATATGAGTCCAAAAATGTAGCCAATACACTAAATCAGCAAAACACAAAATTAAACGAAAAAGCTATGAAGACAGTTAACTAATTTGGTTCAAAGGCACCAACTTTTCCCCCCAAATTGGATCATTTTTCCTATAAAAATAAGATATCATTCAACATAAAAATAACACACAACAAGAGAAAAACTGAAGGAGAGAAAAAATTCAAGGAGAGGAAAAACAGAAAAATATAGGAGAAGTTTGTTCAAGTTTTAATAGCAAGGATTAAAGTAAAAAGGAGTTTGAGCATCAAAGGGAGAACTTTTTTAAAAGCTCCAACGGGGAGACTCCGATAGGTATTTCTTCTCCATATTTACTTCCGCATAAATTTCTCATTCACATGTTTGAATCTTCTCTTTACATCACTTTTATGCCATGCGAATGTTTGCTTCAACATACTTTTTACTCTATTTTGAGTTGCTGCAATATGTGGATATTGAGAAATGTTTAGAAATCATAATAACAGTAATAACACTAAAATTTAGAGATAAAAAAATTTAGTTTTTTCTGAGTTTAAGTCTCATACAGACAAATTACCACTCTTCATTCCATTTCTACCTCTCTTCTTTCTCTACAGATTCAACACACTCTCTCCTTCATTCGGTTCACTCTAAACTAAACCCATCCTTTGAATGGCTTCCACCCAATACGCCTTTGCGGAAACCTTTCCGGGTCCGAAGGTTAGGGTAGCAGCAAAAATTCGTGGGTTTTCGGATCCAGATACCAATTTTGAAACCTCCAGAACTGTCAACTGGGTTTTGGTGAGCACAAAAATTTCTGGGGAAGTTACCATCTCCTTTAAAGAATAATCTTCTAGTCGGTATTTAGTTGACTATTGATACAACGAACATGAAGATAATGAAATAATCTATTCAAAGGAGGTGAAACCTCTTATTTCGGCTGCTTTTGAAGGTATTAATAGAACGGTTATTGTTCATGGAGCTAGAAGCAGTGGCAAAACTCAATTAGTTTAGGGCTCTTTGGAGAAACCGGGTTTGGCAATGCTGGATATTTCGGAGTTTCTCTCGGTGACTGAGAAAAATGGAAAATCTATAGCAGTTTCTTTCTATGAGGTTGATCATCAATACCATGCTACTGATTTAATAAATCCCGAACAATAACCAATTTTGGTGCTTGAAGATCACGGAAGAATTCTGTTTAAAGGGCTTACTCAAACTCCTGTGAAATCCATTGCTGAGTTTCAGAATTTATACATCACAGCATGTTCTACAGACACGGCTGCAACCGAAAAAGAATTTGAGCCTGCACCCAAAAAAGGATTTGTGTCTGCTCGGAGAAGCCACTTGGGATTAATTGTTCATGTCTTTGAACATAATAGAAGTATAAATGGTCTTGTGAGCAAAATAAATTTTGTTGATATGGCAGGTTATGAAGATGCTAGAAACAAAAGTGGTGATGCTTCTGGTGTTGCTGAGAATAACAAATTAACAAGTCAATTTACGCCTTACGGAATGTTTGTCATGCTTCGAGCGCAAATGAAAGTTGTGTCCCTTTTTGGGAAAGTAAACTCACACGCATGTTGCAGGACTCCTTGAGGGGAACTGGCAAAATTTTGTTGGTTTCGTGCTTGAACCCATCATTTTGACAAGACACCATTTTCATGCTTACCTTAGCATCACGATCATGTCAAAGGTCTCATCGAACGCCCTTTGGTTCCATGATGAAAAGTGCTAGTTCAACCAGACAGACAAAAACCTTAGATTCCTCAAAGAAAAGTGAAAGTTCTGTAAGACAGACAAAAACCTTAGATACAATAAGGAAAAGTGAAAACTCAGTAAGGCAGACAAAAACCTTAGATTCCACAGAGAAAAGTGCAAGTTTAGTAAGGTAGACAAATACAGCGGCTCTCTTTGTTACTAGGGTTTTTCAAAAAAATTCTTTGTTCACTTCTCCCGAACCGGGTCAGCCCTATTGGGCCTTTTGGCCCAATCCCATTACCATCATCACCTTATTTATTAATAAAAACATAGTAATAACAGATAATTAGCTTAGTTCTTTTGGCAAAGTGTACCACCTTGCTAGAGCATTTTATTCTGTTTTTATTTAGTTCTTTTAGTATTATCTCCCCATATTTTATTAATTATTTGATATCATGATATTAGTTTTAATTTATATATAATTATTTCTCGCCATTATAAAATACAAAAATATGTTATAAATTTATCTTTTGTTTAACTCTTGTTTATTTAAATACATGCTAATAAATTCTTTTTTATTTAATTCTTGTTTATTTAAATACATGTTTATAAACTAATATTTTATTTATTTTTTTTTCAAAAATGCATGCTAGTATAATTTAATTTTTGTTATTTATTTAATTGTTCAATTGTCATTTTAAATAACTTTATTCTCGATCATTTAATCTTTATATCTATCGTCCGTCTAAAATCCAAGGGAAATGTTTTAACTTTATTGACTTCATGTCATCAAATATGTATAATGCAATTGTGCGAATACCTTCATTCATTTTTTCTTTACTATTTTGTTAATCTTAAGTTAATTTTCCTTAAAAAAATTCAATTTTAAAACTCACACCTTTTAAGTCAAAACTTCGACACTAAGTCGTCGTATCTTCAAAGTCTCTCATTCACACCCATTTTGACCAAACAAACCATTTTAATCAAACAAACAATTTTAACCAAAAAATTGTTATTTTAAAAGGTCCCTGCAGAGTACCGCAGATGCATTGGGTGCTAGTACCTTCCCATTGTATAACCAACCCTCGAATTTTAGATCTCTTTCAAAAAATGCATTGTATTTTCATTACTTTTAAGTATTATTTTACATTTCACATTTAAATGTTTTATTTCGCTCTTTTCCCTTTTCCCTTGTGTCGTACCCCAAAAATTTCCGTCTCATTTTATTCAAAATATACTCCTAGAGGTCCTCAACTTGCCCAAGGATGCCTAAGGATTGACCAGACAAATCCTCCTCCTAAGACAATGAGCCTCAAACTAGGGTTTCACTCCTCATCAAGATGTTTGAGTTCCAATGGTCTTAAATGACTTCCATTGGCCTAATATATTCTCAAGATCATTCATGTCAAGTTTCATGCCTTGCATAAGAAGTTTGCTCAGTCAACTGCTCAAATGCCTGAAAATCAACTATACTAGGTCAAAAGTCAATTGTGGCCCACATATAGTCAAACTTCAAGATTTTTGGTCAACATCAACATTTTGGAGTAATATCCATCATTTGATTAATGGTTGATCATGATTACTCAAGGAATGCTCCTAATTCATCAAAACTTAAAAGTTGCTAAATTAGGGTTTATATAGGAAAAGTCAACCAAACTTTGACCAGGCATAACTTTCTCATACTTTATCAGAAATTTCTCATCCAAGGCTCATTTTGAAGAGAATCCAATTCCCTACAACTCATCTTCTGCCCTCAAGTTCAAGAAATGCACTCATGAAAAGATATAAATTCAGACATTATAGGTTATTTCAAAAAGTCATCAAGAAAACCTTTTGGGTCAAAGCTTCTTGCATGAACATGGAAGATCCAATTGAGATGAAACCAAAGAGTTTGTTTAGAGGACATCCTAAGATTTCTAAGAAGTCCAAGAACACCTTAGGGTTAAAATTGAGGGAGATATGTATTGTCAAAGTTGACCAATTTTTGGAAATGTGCATGAAGTCAACATTGATCAAAATGACTTTTTTAGCCAAATGGGCACATGTTTTCTTGTTTGAAACTTGTTCCTAAGATGGCCCACGACCCCTGAACTTATTCACTTATTATTTTTTATTATTTGTTTTGATTTTTTATCCATTAAGATCAAAATAAATCAATTTAAATAATAGAATAATAAAATAAAATCCAAGATTTGATTTTATGAGCATATTATGAGTAAATAAACAGCTAGAAAATCATCCAAATCGTGCAAGGGATGATTGGATTGGAAAAGATCATGATTTGGCCAAATTCAGAAATAAAAAATACAAGAGGCATATCAAATCTCTTTTCCATAATTTCTCAAGATTGCATCTGTTTTTGTTGACCTAATTTGTTCTCTTATATGTCCACAACATATCCGAAGCATAAGAACAAGGATTGGGTCGTGAAAACAAAGGAACAAAGTTGCAAATTTTGGAAGAAAAGTGCAGATCAGATTCTCTTCCATAGACCAATTCAGGCCATTTCAAAGCCAGCAATCCATTTCTGGACGTGTTCTGAAGCTATTCCAATCATTCTCAAGTTATAAAACATCCAAAATCATAAGATACAGGATTCAGTTCTCTAACTATTTTTGATTTTTGATTACACGCATACATGTACTTTCAATGAAAATTAACCATGTATTCTTTTTTATCATAAGGTTGTGATTCTCTCTATATTGTTTGATTGAGTTTTAGGTACAGGAATCTCAATTTTCCATTCTTAGGATTTCCAAACTCGTTTTAGGGTTTCTTGATACAGGCAAAATTAGGGTTAGACATGGATACCATGGTGTTCAGGGCTTCAAGCCCACTTGATTCATGCTCTCCATTAGAATTTATATTGCTTGTATTTAATTTTTGAATGACACAGGGTTAGAGCTACAAACATATTCTGTAGGTAAAAGTTCAGGCCTAAAGCGACAGTTCTAGGGAGGAAGATGATCATGTGGCAGGCACACACTGGCCGATTTGAATGTTGGCGCATTTTTCTGGGCATGCCACCTTGTTTACGTTATGTTATTATTTGTTTATTATGTTAATGAATGAGTCATGTAGCACAAATGGTAAACGACAGCACTGGTGAGAGAAGGGACCTGGATTCGATCCCAGGTCCAAGCATGTTGTTATTTTATTTTCTTAACGTACTTTGCAGGATCCCATGCACCTCACCTTCACAAGACCATCATGCATCCTCAGATCCAACAATGGGATCATCTCAGATCCAGATCTAGCACCCAACAATTCACCCCCATGGTGGACCCTCAGAGGCAGGCTACACTGAATCCAGACGCATGCAGATGGGCCTATTATTCTGGGCTTTGCAAATTCAGCCATGCACCCCCAGTTTGCTTCTCATAACTGGCCCATATTCATAATTTTTGTTTTATTGTTTTGTTATTTCATTTTAGTTATTTCTTTTATTTTTTTCAAAAATCCTTTTTTATTAAATCATAAAATCAAGAAAACTACAAAATATTAGAATTAGGTTTTTTCCACTAAATTTAATTTTGTTAATTAAGTAGATTAATTTAATTTAGGGTAAGTTGGTTTATTTTTCATAATTAAAATCAATTAGAAATTAGGTTAAATCGTAATTTAAGCACTTTTCTTTCAAATGAAAATACAAAAATATTTTTCTTTAACTAATTAGATTTCTTTTAGAATTTCAATTTTATTCCCAGTATTTAATTCTGTCGCGCATAGTGTTTTTTCCCTTATTTCTTAATTATTGTAATTGCTTTGAGATTGTAATAGTTTTAACTAGGATTTTATTTACTGCCTTTATTTACTGTTTACGCCCATTTTGGTTATGTAATCCCCTCCCCGAGGCCATGTAATAGTTAAGTTTAAAATCCTCGCATTTTACTTCCGCTATTATTAACTGCTTAGACTAATAGGATTGTATGCAAAAGTCAAATGGTTAAAACAGTAGATCACCCTAAATGTGCAAAGATAAATGAACTGAAATCAAACACTTGCACATGCTTACTCCTAGGGTTACCCCCACTTCGGCTGCCTTTGGTAAACGGTCATGAAGTATAGGGAATTTTAGTGGTCGCCCTCTAGTCCCAAAAGATAAAAAATGACTCATTCGAATGTTGCCTCAGAAAGATCTTTAAGACTCCAGGGTAACTACTATGGTTTCCTAACCATTGGTTCAACGACCATAATTGTCCCTTCGAATTTCCCTTAAACTCCAACGATGGGGCTACCTACTCCTTAACAGTAGGATAGTGTTGTCTAAAGGAAACGAGAAAACAAACAATCTTTTTCAAGTAGGTAAAAACTCTTAAGTACTTGCTCAAAACAACAAAAACTCTTTCACACAAACACTTTCAAGACAGTTTTCAAAAACAACTTCGTCACACTCTTGAGGACAGATACAAGGGTTACCACGAAGTTAAAAAAAATTTCAAAACAAACACAAGCAATTTCAAAATGAGCAAGTACCTAAGAGCCCATGGAAAACCATGGATAGAAAGGGTGCTAACACCTTCCCTTTCTATAATCTACCCCCCGTACTCAGAAACATCTCGAAAAAGGTTTTTTCTGTTCTTTTCTCTTTTACTTTGTTGGATGAAATGAAAGTTGGTGGCGACTCTTGCTTACCGCGACATTTGCAAACAAAAAATGCAAACCAGTATAACAGTCGTTTCTGCCACCGTATCACAGAACTGGCGACTCTGCTGGTGAGTTAATAAAGTGGGGTTTACCTTAGGATCTAGGTCATTCTTAATTGCTTCTTTGGCTTATCTTGTTTGATTTACCTTCAAGGGTATCTGTTTGGGTTGTTTGAATCCTAAACTCGGATCGGGGAATTCTTTTTAGGTAAGTAGCAATAAATTGTGAGGGAGTTGTGCGGGGTATACCGA